CTGGGTATTGGGTTTAAAGGCTAAAGAAAAAAAATGAGGGTATGAAAATTTAAAATTAAAATTTTTTGAATGTCTCTCTGCTAGAATGCAGACAACTTAATTGATATTCTTTTGCCTCCTGTTGTCTCAGCATTGTCAGAGGTGCCTTACGTATCTCAATAAAACTGTGTCCTTTTTTGGGGGGGCATCCTGGGGACAAAATCATCATTTTGGTGAGGTTTAGAGAAGGTAACAGGAAAGGGAGGCTGACCCTGAGCCGTCTTCCTTTTTCTTTGCTAGGAGTATCCTAAATATTCTTCATGTTGCACAAATGTGGTTGGATAATCTGACTGCTGTATACTTTTAATTAAAAGCAGAAATGATCTGCAGGGAATAAAGAATTATTAGGCCAGGGAAGTAGGCTGAGTGTTTGTGCCTCTTCCTCAGAGTATTTGTTAATGTGGAGGTGACTGAGAGCCCAAGGGGGCTGGTGGCATTTGTGACACCTTCCCAAGTTATGGGAGGGTCTTAAAACTGAAGGACTATCAAGTGGGGACCTGATGACTCCTGAACTCATTTTGAGTAAGATTCTGAAGAGCAGCTTCTTAGAACCAATGGTCAACCTAACGTACAGGTCCTCACAAGGATTGTACGTTGCATTCAACATCTCAGTTTATGAAGTCTGGGGCTGGGATACAGCTCAGTGGCACAGTGCCTGCCTGACAAGTGCAAGGTCCTGAGTACCAAATTCCTGGTACCAAAAAAGAAAAAAAAAAAAAAATCAATTTATGAAGTAAGAATGCAGTGCTCCCAAATGGTTCATTTCCTTAGGGGCCCAGAAAACACAAATGGAAGTGCTTTTTTGAAAAGATGACATTATCATGTCACCCTCGGCTTATGGTTATTTTTATAAATAATTTTGAATATTTCACATCTAGAACCAAATAACAAATTCAGATAGTACATGACAATATAAAAGTCAATGAAAGAAAGCCAGGTGTGGTGGCACATGCCTATAATCCCAGCACTCAGGAGGCTGAGGCAGGAGGATTATTGCGAGTTCAAGACCAGCCTGGGCTACAAAGTGAGCTCAGGGCCAGCCTGAACTGCTTAGTGAGACCTTGTCTCAAAAAGACAAAAAGAAAATCAATGAAAGAAAACAGTTAGAGCAGGTATATAAGGACTTCAGATATAGAAATCATTAAAATAGACTTCAAAACAATTATAATTTTATTTGTTTGCGTTGAGGAACATACAGGACAAGAATTAGAATATTGCAGGAAAGTGGAAATGATAAAATAAGTACCAAATGGATGTTCTAGGACTGTAAACACAATAAGAGAAATTAATGTAAAGGATGAAGTTAATAGATTGCTAGAGTTGAGGAAGGAACTTTTGAACCAGAACATCTAGAATGAAACAAAGGGAGATAAAGGAAGAGAAAATATAAACAGAAGAGTAAGGCACAGAGGGGCCATAATGAAAAAGTCTAGCGTACGGCCAATGAGATTCCCAGAAGGGACAGAGGAAGAGTTTGAAGATGGAGACCATGCCTGATGAGATAATGACTCAGAATTTTGTAAAACTGACAAAAAAAGTATTAAAAAAAGGAAAAGAAACCCTGAGAAATGCTAAAAAGGCCTAATAAAAACAATTTCATAGTTTGCACGTGGTTGTGAAGCTGTAGAAAACTAAAGAAAATAATCTTTAACAAAGGCCAAGATTACCTCCACAGAAGTAGTATTTAGACTGAGGGCTGATTTCTGAACAGGGGCAATGTTCACCGGAAGACAGTGGAAATGAACAGCCAACTCAGAATGTCGTGCTCAGTGAGTGCACCCTTCAAGAATAAACATGAAATAAAATATTTCCAGACAAGTGAAAACTGAGAAAATTCTTTAGACCAGAAACTACATAAAATAGATACTAATTAGACAGTATTCTCCAGGTAGTGGAAAAATGATTCCAGAGGGAAGAGCAGACATAAGGGACTGAGGAATGATGGGAATGGAAACACGAGGACTGATAAATATGAATATTTACACCCACAGCAATGTCTACGGGAGCTCAAAGTATTTATAGAATAAAACAATAACACTATGTACGTTGGGAAAAGAACACCTGGAGTTAAAATACTCTAATGTTCTTGATTAGTCAAAACTGCCACTGTAATCTCCAGGCTAAAAACTAAAAAAAATGGTAACAGACTAGATAACTTCTGTGAAAATAGGAGAAGTAGGATTGTAAAAATAATTCTGTGAGGAACTTTTAAAAATGGACCGGAGCCAGTGGCTGTCCTTATGATAAAACAAAAATAAAGAAACCCATAAACTTGACCCCTACATAAAATCAGTTCCAGGAGAAACAATAGTGCTGCCCGAAGATAATTTAGGGAACTTTATGACACCAAGACAGCTAAAGACTTATTAACAGAAGAACAAAAACATTAAACAAAAAGGAAAAGATTGACAAATTTGACTACATTGAAATTAATTTGTTTGTACTCTATATGGAGAATGAGAGAACTCTATAATGGGAAGGGACATTTTCCACGTCAATGAATAACAAAGGTTAAACAATTGTTAGAATAAAAGTGAAGGAGATCAGTCCAATAAAAAAAGTGGGCAAGGGATTTGAGTAGACACTACACATAAAAGAACATCCAAATAACCAATAGATCAATGAAAGTTGCTCGACAATGTTAGTCACCAGGACTAGTAGGAAATATCCCTACATTAGATCAAATTAACATTACAGATGATATTGAGAATTGGTGAAAATATGGAGCAATATAAACCCTTATACTCATAGAGTTGGTGGGAATGTAGACTGGTACAGCATTTTTGAAAATCATTTGTCATTAAACTTTAAAATATTTATACCTTATGATCTAACTAGTTCACTCTCAGATTTATTCCTGACAGAAATGCAGGTGTCTATGGACAAAGAAGCACATACAACAATATCTATGGCAGAGTTATTTGTAATAGCCTCAAACTACAGAAAACTCAAAATGCCTATCAACAATAGAATGACTAAATAAATTGACATACATATACAGTGAAGTGTGGTACCATATTGGAAATGAACTTCTCCAACAAATACGATGTGTGAATGAAACCAGATGCAAGCAAAAAAATTCTGTGTGCTTCCATTTGTATAATGTTTTTAGAATGTTGCAACAACTAAACTACAGTGCTTAGGTGATAAAACTACAAAGAAAACTAAGAAAGCAATAGCAGTAATGGCTAGGATAGTGGTTATCTCTGGTAGGGGTCAGAGCCTATAGTTATCAGGAAGAGGCAAGATGGGTCAGCCTGAGGTGCAGGAATTTTTGTTTTATGCCTGTGGTTACATGGTGTCATCCCTTCATAATAAATACTTGAGCTGTAGTTTCTCTTTTCATGCACGTTTCTCTATTGGGTTATAATATTCATTTCAAAACAAGGTAGGAAGGCAAATAAACCAAATGATGGTCTAGGACAATGCTCAGGGAAGACAAGAACTGGTGCTAAATATATAACTGGGATTTTTAATGGTTGCCTTATTCCCTGTTTATAGCCTAAAGAATGCATTCACAGGGCTGTAGTGATAAAATGTCAAAATGAGGAAATGGAAATATTCCTACTTTTTGATGTCTATTCGGTGTTGGTTACTTTCCAATTCCTTGGAGATGCAAACATTTTATAGGCATTCATCATTACAGATCAGCTTTGATTTAAAAATCTGACTTGAGGCAAGATCTTGAAAAACAAATACCTTGTGAGGGAGCTGAGCTTTATACATTTGCAGCACAAGATTAGGACTGCTGTTGTTTGTGGCTACTACAAATGAAAGAAAATCAGAGAAAACATTTTCAAATACCATTCTCTGAAATATTCATTGAAGTGTGTCCTCTGAGATATTTGCAAGAATTTTTTCTAGTTATTGTAACCAAAATATTGAATGAGTTTTCTTACTTTGCATCCTATATTATGAACTAATCCTGTTTACTCCTTATGTACTGAACTCTAAACCACTGCATGCTCCACTCCACAGTAGCTATAAGCAATAACGTTTCAGTCTGGCAATCATAATGCAAAGTTTTTACAGGGCAAATTAGAGCTCATAAAGGTTTTATCCTGTGAATATGAGCCAACTATGTTCTTGGAAAATGGGACCAGGCTGTCTGGACATATAAATTGTTACTAAAAACTCAGAATCAAAATATTTAATTGATAATGGGAAGTTGGTTCTGCTGAAACTTTACTGGTCATTCCAGACCTTGTAAATATATATTTTATGAACAGCTTTAATGTCATACACATTTGTTAAGCATTTATCATGTGGACTCTAATCTATCAGTGTGGGCAAATTCAGCCTCTCTGAATATAACATATGTAGGAGACACATAGACACATAGATAGACACACAGGCATGTGCACACACACACACACACACACACACACACACACATGCACACACACACTGACCATGATTTGAAGGTCTTTCCTGTGCCAGGTATTGTGCTTTGTCTAACACTACATGCTCTGCTCTATTCTGATCCTCACAGCGACCTTGTAGGGTAGCTATTCGCTATTGTTCTTTTAGAGAGAAGGAGGCTGAGGCACAAAGAGTTTCATACAACCCCGAGGTCACAAAACTAAGTGACAATAACTATAGAGAAGTAAAATATAGCTTGTCCTATGGCTACCAGACACATGGCAGATATCCTATTTTGTTTTCGCCAGGCACATCTCTGGCCAAGCTCCACTCTTACTTTTTCTCAGCCTGTTTGTAGACAAATATATCTCCTTCCAAATGGAAGTTGAGCCTAAATCTACCACCTAACTGGGCATTGGTTTGTCCATACCTTGCACAGAAAATACATATTTCCTAAGCAAAACAGTGAGCTGTACAAATGGAAGAGGCAGGGCATTCTTCCTGGTGATATTGTCCTTTGAAATGCTGGCAGAGGGGAACTTCCGAGAGTTGTGATGGATGTGAACCTCTGTGCGGAACACAGTGAGCCAAGCTCCTACCTTCTGATTGATTTTCATTGTCTCTTCAGTGTGGTAGAGGAGGAGCTTTTCCCCAGAAGAAGTCAGGTTCACATACACCTGCAGGCAGGGGTACTGAGAGAGTTTCCAGCAGTCTGGACCACAGCTGAAGGAGCAATTAAATGTTTCCGTGATGGATGCGTTCAGCAAGGTGCACTGAGACTCTTCAGTCCACACACTACAGAGAAAGGGCAGAGTAAGAAGAGGCCATGAGCTACTGGCAAGGAAGACGTGATTGGAGGGCTGAACCCGAGAGTCTCTTTCAAGTCTCTCATGCAATCTGCCAGTATAAAGTTTATGCCTTTGAACAGAGCAGCTTTAGGCCAACTACAACATAGCATAGACAGATTTTGCTACCTGAGGATTTCCTCAGTGATTTCTGTTGGACATAACATTCTCCAGTGCTTGGTTGAAGCAAATAGTTTCCTTTATTGAATGTTGAAGTAAGCATAAGGCCTGCTTTTAAATAACCAACTTATACCCTGTATTTTGTCATTGTACAACTTCTTGTCAGGCTCCAGTTCTTACCTCTACTGGGTATCATGTTGTACTTTGTTCATCTCAACCCCTCCTGCAGCTCAGTTTGTAGACAAAGAAGACAGAGGGAGCAGGGGAAAGATGGCAAAAGGGGTGGATGGTTGGGGTCTAACTTGACAGATGGAAGGACAGTGATATGGTGCCTTAAGGCCATTATAATAAGGGATAAAAGACATCTCAATCCTTTGATTACACCAAAATAATCACTTATTCCACCTTTTTAAAACCCTAATTGGTGCTTTGCATAAGTTATCTTCTTTTGCCCTCCCAACAACCTAATAAATTGAGTATTAACTGCTTTTAATAGTGAGTTAATGGAAGGTCAGAAAAATCAGGCAAAACATAGACAAGGACACCTAGCCGGTAACGGATGGAATTTGTGATTCTGTGAAGTTCAGTGCTTCTCTAAGGCCCAGGCTCATTCTATTGAGCTGTCTTGCCACCCCATGAAAGCTCTAGAAAGGAAACTTTCTATGCCAAGTAAGGGTTAATAAAGATGCCCTGGGCCCTTTCATCTAGAAAGATTCCACCTGCCCATTGGTCAACTTTCATTTTAAAATACCTTTTGTTTTATGATCAAGGTTAACATTTGTAATTAGGACATAACACACCAGAAATCAATGTTTTGCTTGTGGCCATGAAATGATTACCATAGTTGAGAAAACAACATGTTTTCATACAGCTTACGTCCCTTGTCTTTTGCTGGATGTGAACGGACAACTCCACGCACTTTTGCACGTGTGGAGTTTTATGCCACAGGCAGGACAATAGACCCGCTCCCAACTGCTGTGGCAAATTGAATTTTCCTGGAGCATGGATGGTAAGATCTTGCTTTTACAATGAGGAGAAAAGCCATAGATGGTTCTAAGCCGATGTGGGGGCTACAAGAGGTTTTGGAATCAGAATACTTGGGGTCCGAGGCATCAGCGCTTTCACTGAGAAAGAGCATGGCGGAAGGCCATCAAAGAAACAGCGCAGCAGTCACAAATGTGAAAGATGCTGCCTTGATTTTAGCAAATCACTGTATTTTGACTCGATTTTGCTTCTAAAATGAAAGTATTAATTTAGATAGAGAAATGAATATCACAAGAGGATCTGAATGTCTTTGGGATTGAAACCTCAATTTTCCTTTTGAAAGGGTCTTGTTTGTCTAAGCTGAACCACCATGAGATTTCGCAACACTGGGCTCACCTGTGCATTCAGTGTCCCATTATGGACAATGGTTACCTAGAGATACAGCTGGGATTTATCACATGGCTTACTTAGGAGGAAGCACACATGTTGTGTTACTATTTATTTACCACCTTAACTGTTCGGTAAACCTAAGAAAAATATTAAAATGGAAAGTGTTTAAAATCTGGTATTTTAAAAGCTTCATGCACAGCAGTGTTTCTGCACCTTGAAAGTACATTAAAATCATTTGGGAGAACTTTAACAACTCCTGATGAGTGGGTTCTACTTCAAACCAATTTAATCTGATCCCATTTAGGGTGATAGTGGTAGGGCCAGGGCATCAGCATTTTTGAAGTTTTTCAGAAAGTTGGAATGTGTTGTAGAAAACACTGATATGGAGGGTGATAGAGGTGTGGTACAGGGTTGGAAAGGAACGAATTTTGGGAATAAGGACTCAATTAGTGACATGTGTGTTTGAATCTCAACTGCCATATGCCAGAGCTGTGTGACATTGGACAAGTTATCTTTCTTTTGAGCCTAGGTTTTGTCATTCTTATAATGATTGTATTCATACTTATAGAATAGTTGTGCAATTGAAACAATGTAAAAAAAAACTCTGATACGAAGTAGGCAGTTTATTCATAGAGATATCTTTACTGTTATTATTAAATAGTATTAATGAAAAAGACTATGTACCGGATACTTCTGAAAGTTCTTATTAAGAAAGGAGGTGAGACATCCAGGAAGATGGCAGAGTGGCGAGCAACAGAGGAAGATGCTGTCTGAGAGTCGCCCTCCAGACCCTGGAATACAGCAATGAGCAGAAGAGGAGAAGCAGGGAAGTGAGGTCCCTGGACCCAGAAAGGATCTGAAGTGAGAACTGAAGCCCACAGGGAAAGCGAATAGAGGAACTTTAATGAAGAAGAAGGAGGTACCCAGTGGAGCCCTCTCCTTGAGTCAGACCTCACTGCAAGAGAGGAGAATTTCAAACATTGCAGGCACATGGAGACTGCTCTGAACACCAGGGGCCTCCATAGAGAGACGCAGCAGTGGAGGGGAGCACAGGACATGAAGGACTGCACTAGCTGAGGGTGAGTGCTTGGTTGTCCTGCATGAAAGAGTGATTGGGTAGGAGCCATCTTGGCTAAGGGGCCAACTGAGTTCAGAACTCAGAACAAGTGTTGGGGCCATCTAGCAGCTCCCAGTTCAAGACCGCAGAGGGTGTGCTGACTTGTGCAGGCTGAATGGATTTGGTTTCAGTCTCACTGAGATTATCCACTACCATGCCATAAAGCTACGGCTGGCTTGCTGGTTTAAATCAACACAGGTTTGGACTCTATTTCCACACATTTTCTACTGTTGACCATAGAGACAAACCTGGAGGTGGACTTTTTCTGTTTGTTTTTCTCTTATCTTGTTTTTTGTTGTTGTTGTTTTTTCTCTTTCATTGTTTGATCTTGTTTTTATGAGTGTGAATGTGGTTTCTAGCTTCTGTGTGGTTGCGGTTCTGTTCTGTTCTTCCTTTTATTTCTTCCTTCTTTCTCCCTCCTGTGTTCTGCACCAGTTTCTCAAAGTTAGTGTGATCCCTCTTGGTCCTCCAGCTTTGCCTCTAATTTCTTTCTCTATTTTTTTCCTAATGCTTGTTAAATTTTCTCCCCTGAGGATAAAATTGACATGTTATGGATTTATTTACTGTGTAAAATTTTCTGGTTTGTTTTAGATTTTGTTATGTAACCATGACTCTAGCTCTTGTGGTTAAAGGTGACAAAGTAATGGTTACCTCAGTTTGTCATTTTCTAAGCTGTGCTTGATGCTATTGTTTTTGCTAATTGTACCACTTTAGCCAAAGTGACCTAATTGTTCTAACCAGCTGTTCTTCCTGGTATTCCAGGACTGAGATTGCTTAAGCATCATAGAAAATACTGTGGGCCAGTGCCAAAGAACCAGAGGCTGGGACAAGTAGGCAGCAACTTCTCATTCTCCACAAATTGAAGAGGTAGGATCTTACAACAGACTCAAAACCCCAAAACCAAGTACACCTGGAAGACACCTGTGGGAAGTAGTCATTTCCTTAGGGGTTCTAAGTACTAGCAATAAAGCAACTCAATTTACAATTTAAATTTACAATTTACAAGCAACAACCCAAGAATTAAACTAATAAAAATAAAAGAAAAGAAGAAAGAAGATGAGATAGAGGACCTTGGGTTTAATTGAGAAATGTGGGAGATGAGGGAAGGAGGAGACCAACAACAGTGCTCCAACCACCCAATGGCATTACCTCTGCATGTATGAGCGCAGCAGTGTGATTCCCAGCAGGAAGTACATCATGATGGAGCACACCATCATGGCCAGTCCCAGGAGAATGGCCCGGTCCTCTCCAGCTTTCAGTGCTGTGACTGTTTTCCTTTTGTCCAGGAGGTCATGGTCCCTGATTTTTTGGTAGAAATTTCTGAAGTTGAAAACAACATAGTCTGATATGAAGTTCACAGTTAATCAGTGTGGCCCTAGAGAGAGGGTAAGTTTCTACTTCCTAGAGCTAGAAACCTAGAAGAGCCCTCTGAGTTTGCATTAATGCATTTGGATTCCAGCATGTCACCACTGCCTCCAAACACAACACACACACACACACACACACACACACACACACACACGAACACATACACCCATGCATGTGTACCCATTCAGCCAAAATGGACCTCTTCTTTACCTTAGGGCTCATCTCCTTTAACTATAAATTAATTTTCCTTCTCTCCAGTTGTAGAGAAAGAAAGCAATGCCCTCCATCTTCAAAGCAGTGCTTTGGATGTGTTGGCTTTATCATTTATCCAAGCTTATCATCACTGAAATATTTTACAATTTCTGAGTACCTAATTGAAGAACATTTCAAATAAATGGTGGCACACATCAGAAATCTATCAACTTAATCTTTGTATTCCCTCATTAGGGAGAGACAGAAATTATTTTGCTTAACATTTGTTCTGAAGCTTGGGTTTACTTATGGTTCTGTTGGCTTGAGATTTATGAGCAATGTGAAGATAGTTGAGACCCTCTTTTCATCAGTGTAAACATTCAAGTGAGTTAGAAGTGTTAGTCAAACCAAGGACAGAATCCATAACTTTTTACAGTTTCATTAGTATTTTTTCAGGACATAATAGGGTGAGAAAAAACATGAGGCTGGAGTCATATTGTTTCCTGTGGTCAAACTCTGATTTCACTGTGTTCTAGGTGTGTGATCAATAATAAATTCCTTAGCCTTTCTGATCCCCTGCAAAGTAGTAATAACATTTAAATGTATTGGAATGGCTGAGTTAGACAACATAAGTAAATCACCTGAGATAATAACTGATACAAAATATTTAATAAATGTTCCCATTCAAATATGGCATGAGAAGCTATGGCTCAGTGACATAAATGTTAGAACACCCTAAATTGTTATCATTCTCCAAAGAATTTCTAAAAGTCAGAAGGGCAAGGAAATAAATAGTGTAGAAAGCTTAGGAGTAGAGGACTGGATTTCAAAGATGGAAAAAGCAGACAATAGTGAAAAAATCTGGAGTGCTGGATGCTCAAGGAAATGCATGAGATGGATGGGTAGGAAGGCAGTGCCTCAGAAATTAGAGCAAGGCTGGTGACCAAGATACAGCTCAGGCTATCCCATATTCTACTTTAATAATGGAGTTTTGGATTGGAGGGCAGTGGAAGCAGGCTTTTTGGGTCTGTAAACAGAGAGAAGGACAAGTAGAATGCTGAAAATGGAGAAGGAAGCTCTGAAAGAATATTTTCAGTTTTAAATAAAAAGGCAATCTGCAAAAGTATGATTTCCTTCATTTCCATCACCGATCCCTCATGTATCTAGGGAAAGAAATCACAGTAGACTCCAATATGGGACTTTGCAAGAAGTAGCTTCTGTCTATTCCTCCTGTTGTTTATACAGTTGTTTATCTATTCAGGGCTTATGTTTAACTTTATGCTCCACAATGGCCTAAGTGGTGTTTATGGTCAAACTCTGTTCTGATTGGTTGGTCCATTCTGGGCTAGTTGTTAAATATTTTGATTCTTTATAAAGGTGGGATAGTGTGTATGCATTTGATATATTTCCAAAAGGGACTAGGGTAGAATGTTTATTAATGTAGTTACTGGTACACAAAACGAACTGATTGGCTATTGTTACCAGCATTATTTTAAAGATCTCGTCACCAGGAAGTTTATACAAATCTTAGTGGGCACATTGTAAGAGGAGAGTCACAAATGATTAGGTGCCTTTGTTCCTCTTTTCATAGTCACCATTCACTCTCAGCTCCTTATTGTCATTGTCAGAGGCCTAGAGAGACTATAGTTTTCCTTATTTTGCAGCACCCCAGGCTGTTGTAATTGGACTAACTGGCTTGTCCTCCTTTTGAGTTCCATAGGCTGTCAATGGCCCTCCCCCTAAATTTCCTAATTCTTTTTTGAGATTTCCTTTGGATATTGTAGGACTAAATAAAAGCTCTCTAACATGACCCTTTATGAACTTGAAAAAAGTTGGCACCCATTAGCAGTAAAAACTAGTTGGTAGAAAGACTTTTGAAGCCGAGAAAGACAGGCTGAGGCTGACTGGCTTCAAAGACCTGCTGTAAAATAATAATCTGCTGTTACTTTGCTAATATTATTTATCAACATGTATTTAAGTCTGATGGCTGCCACTGAGATTTGCATTTCCCACAGATGGAAGCCATCAAGGAAGAAGCAAGATCCTCACAGTTCTCAAATATTACGCTGTCACACAGCATCTATACCCACAAAATAGATGAAACACAATCAATCAGTTATGTCACCAGAACAAGAAGCATATAAAAATGATTCAAACAGGTAATTTACAAACAAATCACAATTTCAAAATAGCTAACAAATGTTCTTCATATGCTCAGGAATGGATAGCGAAGGGGAGAAAAGATTGGTTTCTACATAGCACATAGGCCCCTGGGAAATCAGGATATTACCCAGTAAAATGAAAATGTTAAGTGGGTGGAGTCCATCAATAATTAATGGATAAATACAGGAGTGAATGAGTAATTTGGAAGGACAAGTAATTCAGAGTAGGTCCACAGATTTATGTTAAGTGTTGGTAATCTCTTATTTCTGGGGATAGGGACCCTGCTCAATAAGAAGACAGATGTGCAAGTACAGGTTAACATAGAGTGGTAGGTTCAAGGATGGGGTTACTCAAAGAGCTTAATGAGAATACAGAAGAGGGGCAATTTTCTCGGCTTGAGGGAATGGGATAGGGAGGAAGGGTTGAGGTTAGGGAAGGTTTCCTGGACGAATAATATCTTGAACAGAATCTTCAAGACTGATTCAGAGTTAACCAAATGAGACAAGGAGTTGAGGGCATTTCCAGTGGAAGGAATCACGTGAACAAGAGGATGGAGATTTGACAACAGCATAATGAGTATCAGAAGCACGGTAGTACCCCTGTGAGTGTGGGACAGGTGAAATGGGCAGACATATTTGGAAAGGTAGGTGGGTCATGAAAGGTTTTGTAAATCATTCTAAAGAGATTGGACTTTATTTTGTAGTTAACAGGGAGCTGTCAGAAAGTGACACGATCAGAACTGAGTTCCAGAATAATCGCTATGGCTGTTGTGTGAAGATTAGGTTAGAAACAGAACAAGACTTAAATCAGAGAGAAATGGAAGATTGTTTCAGTTGTTTTGGCAAAGGAAGAGCAGGTCTAGATCCAACATCAGGGCAGGGTAGGGAGAAAATGGTGTACAGAGAAAAAAACTTCAAGCTTTGCCGATTATTCTGGCCTGGTATGTCATGGCCTTCCAACGGCCAGATACTAAGCCTCAGCTGGGAAAGAAAGTGTCCACAGCCTGAGTCTGAATGGGTTAGTTAAGTGATCCTTCCTATACACAGTTGTCTTCAATGGCACATGGAAAGAGCATGATGCTATATTTTGGGCCTCATTCTTTGGGGGTTACTGTACCACCAGTAAAGCAGACTATTATTTTACAGCAGATCTCAGCCTGTTTTTGCTTCAAAAGTCTTTTTACCAAGTGGTTTTTACTGCTAATGGTCACCAATTTCTTTCAAGTTCATAAAGGAATTTCACTTTACATGTTTGAAGTAAATTCACTTTGGTATCTTGGCAAAGTAGCAAGTTTAAGCCCTGTTGAGGTATTTTTGCCATAAAAGTCAATATTTATACGTGTTGAAAATAACAAATAGTAGATATATGCAGGCTTTACGACATATATAGGTAACATTCTACCCAAATCCTTTTGGAGAAGGGAATTAATGCATCTTCTGGGCAAGCCCACATATAATGGAAATTTTTGTGAATTATTTTGAATACAAGAGATTTTCAGTTTTCTAATAAAGCATCATTTTTCATCAAGCAAGTTTTAGTATAGCACAATTTTATTTTAAATTGCATATCTGGATCATTTAAAAAATTTTATATCAGGAATCAGCCTATAATCCATAAGAAAATTAGTTATGAGGCTATGTATATACAAAAATTGATAAAATGAATAAAAGATGCAAGAAAGATTTTCTCCTTGGCCTTCACCCATTTAAATTCAGATTCCTTGGTATCTGTCCTCTAAGGAGAAAAGAACTAAGGTTAAGGTGGGGCATAGGCCATATAGAAATTCAATTTTTAATTCACTAGTCAATATTTTTGAGCCTTCATAAGAAGAAATGCAATGTGCTAAGGTCTGGGGCTACAAAATAAGGGAGCTGCACGAGGTATGAATTTTACAAAGCAATGGGCCTGACTAGAAAAGTGTGGGGCAAGGAGAAAGCTGATGTGCTCTGAACCAGTTTGTCAAAGGATCAGTTACTGAATGGTTAATTCACCAAAAGCTAATCTATTAAAGGGTCAGTTAATTAAATGGATGTAATTTGTCAACTTTACCATGCTTACATGTTTAATGAAGATTTATTTAAGGAACATGTTTTAAAATACAGCAAATGAATATGAATAAGTGTTTTCTTATGACTTGTAACTACTATTTCTAATTTCTTGAATTGAGAAATGCCTAGTAGATTAGTAGAGCTCCTTGGGTAGTATCTATGGTCCCTTACTTGTTCTTATCCTGTGTAGTTCTGCTCTGTCTCCAACACAAGAAACCAAGGAGCTTTGCTCTGCTATGTCCTACTGCCAAGATGTTCTAGTTGTGGAGCCAAGTGACTACGACAGAATCTCCCGAAACAGTAAGTTAAATTAAACATTTCTGCCTTCAAACTGTGAGTGTCAGATATTGGGTCCAACAACAAGAAAGCAGCATACATGAATGTGTTAAGACTATGTTTAAGCATACATTTTACCATAAAGTATACTCTCCTTATGATATATTCTTCTTAGCAGGATTTTGAGATTGCTTTGATTTTTTTAAAAGCTAAGTTTCCTAGTGAGGCTCAGTCTCTTTATGACTATAACCTGATGAATATATTCATAGATAT